ACAACAACACACAAAATACCAGTACCACCAACATTTTGTTAGATGCTACTGCTGAGTCACTGACAGTTTTTTCTGGTGCAAACAGGAAGTTTCACACTCGTGGTGGCGGTGGCGTGTAAAAGGGATGTGATGTTTTAGCAGTTAATAGGTCTGACTTCATCAGCGTGTGGAAAACAAGGGCTTTAAAAAAAAAAATAACCCAAGGTGCTGCAACATAAAGCAAACACCTTAAACTTTTTGGTGTATGGTGCAATAAGCCACCTTTATTTATGGCATTTGGGAGAAGTCTGCAGAAAAACAAAAATCAAGTAGCCTTTTGGAAATGTGCTTTTTTAAATACTCTTGTTTGCAGCTGCAGAGGAAAGCTTTAATAACCCTCAGTGATAAAACAAAATCAATCCTCAGAAAGAGGATCAAAATCTCCATCACTGGCCAAAAGACAATTTCCTTAAATACCTGAGGACATAATCTGGGATTTAAATCACACATCACCAGCAGACTCACTTATTGCACCATAGAAACTGCCTCGGTTGGGTGTCAAGTGACGTCTAGCACACATAGTCCTGCAGCAGATCAGCATGCCGAAGCAACAACCGCAGAAGAAAATGAGACCCAGTGCGACCCACACCAGTGTAGTGACGACAAACGCAAACTGGTAGGTCACCTTGTGGCAGTACGGATCTTTTCCAGGTAAGTAGTTTGGAGGATAGACAGAATAAATCCAGCTGCTGCCTGTAAGGTGAAGACAGACAACACACAGGTCTTCAGTTCTAAGTGAAACCTTAACAATGAATTCACTTTAAAGGTCGCAGCAGCAACAGTTTGAACTACTTCACTGTGTTTTTAAAGGCTGTGGTTTGGTCAGATTTGATTGGCAAAGCCAAATAACCCACTGTCATCTGTTTGACCATGGAAGATACTATGTGCTGATTTGTTACACACAATTACGTCACCATTTTTTCCAAACTGATCCACAACTCAGTAAAAGTTGCAAAAACATTTTACACGATCCTTTAACTAAGCATCATGAAGCAAAATGTAAAAAGGAGGGGGACTGTTACTGATAGATGTGTTTGCAAGACAGAGTGGTTTCTTATTTTCACCACAAATATAGATTCACTGAGCCTTGAAAACCACACATTGTGTGCGCTGGTCTCTGATATCTAATAAGGAAGGGTGTAAGTATTTGTGTGGCATTACTACCAGGTTGTGAATGCAGCATTTCCTAAATTTGCTTTTGTCTGCTCAATGCCAATAAGATTAAATACTTCCATTTCCAACATTAACAATTTTACTATAGATGCACTCATTGAACACATGACACAAACAATGTGGTCATAAAAGGAAAGGACCTCAGTTTGTAAATGTCCCCTACACCATTACAAAGTCTTGATTAGTAGAAATCAAGGCTCGTGATTCCAGGCAATATTTATCCATTTGAGTTCTTGTTCTTAGCTGACAGGAGTGGCATCTGGTGTGGTTTTCTGCTGTTGTAGGTTTGACATTCAAAGATGCTCTTCTGCATAACTTTGTTTTAACTAATAGTTATCCGAGTTACTGTTGCTTTCCTATAAGTTTGAAGCAGTCTGGTCATTCTCCCCTTACTTCTGGGATCCACGAGGTATTTTTTCAGAGAACTGCTGCTCACTTGATATTTTCCCTTTTTGAATCGTTTTCTGTAATCCCTAGAAATGCTCAAAAGACCAGCACGACTGGCACAAACAACCATGCTGTATTCAAAGTCACTTAAGATCACCTTACTTCCTCATTCTGATGCTCAGTTTGATTTTCACCAGGATGTTTTAACCATGTCTACATTTCTGTGTGCACTGAGTTGCAGCCATATAATTGGCTGATTAGATATTTGTGATAACAAGCAGTTAAAAAGTTGTATCTAATAAACTGGCCAGTAAGTGCACGTGAGTTTTGTGTCTAATTTCATGCAAAATGAAGAGTTCAGAAAGTTTTTTCTCCCACCTGCTATGAACCAGGCAAAACTGAAGATGTGAAGAACTGTCATACAGGCTGTGGACAGGACGTGGATTGCTCCATCATCAAAGGCGCTGCTGGTGTAGGTCAGAGTTAGTGAGAGGATGCTGTTTGCCCCCAGCACTATCAGGTAAATGGGGATGTGGGGCTGTATGGTACAACTTGTCAGGTGTGTGGCCCCTGTGATGCAACAGAACAACCATATAAGATCATCATCATCAATCATAGGCGAAATGCTAAAGGTGCCGTTTTCACCAACTGGATAACTAAAGCTGTTAAACCTACCCAGTCCAATGGCTGCTATCATTACCATCCACCATATAATGTTCACCACCACTGCAAAAACAAAAAGAGAAAGAGGGTAAAGGACTGGTTTAACAGTAAAACAGGTTAAATTATGAAAAAGTGAGACAAAAATGAGATGCAGAAACTAATCTAACCAATTCCTGTGACTTGTGAGGCAGTTTGAGGCTTTAGATCCATCTGTGGAGAGAGGTTAATATCTACAGTCAGTTTTGTCACAGCCAAAACATGAAGAGGAAGCAGAAGCAGAGCTCTACGGTACCTGTCCAGTTGTGAGTGGAGCCTTTTTAATCTTCAAGTATTCAGAAGAGGAGAACTACACGAGTTGCCGTTAGCTACTTCTTAGCAAAGTGCAGGATGTTAAGACATACACGTTCGAGCCTTTCAGCGACTGTTGCAACACTGTCTCACTAAGAGGAAATAATGATAAAAATCAGCCTCTGTTATCTGACACGGTTTATGTGCAGTTTAAGATTTCCTTAAGACAAAGTAGTTACATGAAATCCTTCCACTGATCTTGTAAACCATACTGTTTCTTAGATTATATATCAAAATGATTTACATTTTGAAGTGACATAATCGGTACATGTTAAATCATGAAGCAGCACAAGGGCTAGGTCATTGTAAGCCACAGGACAGCTTATGTGGTGCACACAGGAAAATCAGCTTTCCTGTTATAACTATCAGCTTTTTCTCGCGTGCCAATAAATACCGACTGCCACTTTCAACTATCAAACAGTTTGTGTACAGAAGCTGAACATTAAAACTGTGCTTCAGAAAGCAACAAACATCATTAAGGACTCATCTCACCCTCACCTCCATTTCTTCAAACTTCTGCCTTCAAGCAAATGATACAGGACACTAAAAACACACAGCAACAGACTTTTAAATAGTTTTTTTTAACACAGAGGGCGTCACCACCCTGATGCTGCTTTAAAACCATATATTAGCACAGGGGTGGGCAACTCCAGGCCTCCAACACAGCTGATTTGAACCAACACAGCTGATTTAAATGGCTAAATTAGCTCCTCAACCTGTCCTGAAGTTCTCCAGAGGCCTGGTAACGAACTAATCATGTGATTCAGGTGTGTTGACCCAAGGTGGGCTCTAAAAGCTGCAGGACACCGGCCCTCGAGGCCTGGAATTGCTCACCCCTGCGTTAGCATCTTGAATTACAGACTGTATGAGATTTACTTTATTGTTATTTATTTTCTTTCTTATTCATCTCTTATATTATTACTCTTACTTTTTAACTACAGGGAGAACCATTTTTTAAGCAGAAGTGCAACAGATTTTGTTGTATATCATTTTATAGAAGGACAAAATATTATAAAATAAAATATTTGCCAGACAAAGATTGTCTTTGAATAATACAAGGTATCTGTTGATTTATGTCTTTTTGCTCTGAGCTTTCAACAGAATATTGAATATTAGAAAAAGTTGATTAAAGTGAGTTTAATCTTTATGGCTCACTGGCTACTTGTTTTCAGTTTAGAGTTTCAAGCAGCATTTTAAAACCACTGGTGCTAAACTGGGGATTTGTTCTTATCCCTGAATTAAAGGTGAAGCCCAGCAATTTATTATTGCACTTTTATACAGGGGAAGTATTTAGAAAAAAACTGTTTAATTTTTTTTTAAACAAAGCCTTTTGAGGCTGTAGGGCCAAAGGATCAAATTCCAAATAAATCCAGGAGCCTACATTACCCATGATTCAATCCCTGCACCAAACGTTAAGCCTGAGATTGTGGGTGATAGAGAGTGCAGTTGGCAGTACTGCTCCTTACTTGCAGAGATGAGAATGGAGCAAATGAGAGTCCCGTAGGCTTCCTTGTTTCTACCTCCACCCAAGTGGTGTAGTGCATTGATCTCCAGACACTTATTACAGAAGTATGTTTTATCTATGCTTTTCTACATGAAAACAAGAGTAGTAAACAAACATTGCTGCATAAAAATCAGTGGAGTTTGTTTAATGGAGCTTCAATTAAGAAATGTGGTCCAAGTTCTGCAAATTTGGACAGCTGGAATGGGTCTGAGATGCAAAGGTTAAGCTAGTTGTTCACTGCTTACAGTAAGCAGTAAGCCAGAGGAAGATGGAAGTACCACTAACAAAGCAATGCTGCCACCATGTGACTGGATGAAAACAGCTCCTGGTAGTATGGTGCTGGTTAGAGGTCATAGAGGAGGCTGTTTCAAGCTTCTCTAAAGTGTTGGACTCATGTTAAACTCTACGAGTTCAAGAACATTAATGTTACTCAGTTGGCTTGTTTAAGCTTTATTCCAATTTCCATATGACCTAACTGGTGATTTATGTTCACTGCAGTGTCCCCACAGCAATTACAACACATGTCAGCAGTTTTCACAGCAGTTCATTACTGTCAAAAACTCAAACACTTGGTGCCACCTCTGATTTATTTTTGAGTTGCATTTATTTTATTCCCCAAATCTTTTGCAGATGAGACATTTCATCCCAGGCAAACTTTCCATCATAATTACTTTTGTCGAGCTCAGTCAGATATTAGCACCGAAACGTTTGATTAATTACTTTGTCAGTGAGAAAGTTAAGTGGCTAAGAATTGTGTTATTAGACCTGCTCTGTCTTAAAAGCCTCTTTTAATTGGAAGTCAATGATCATTTGAATAATAGGGGCAGCGGGAAAGTCCATGCATATGATTCCAAAGCGCTGGTTCAGGTCCGTCTTGGCCCTCAGGTACTCGTACAGCTGTGGGTTGATGAGCTGTGCGACGGCCCTGGGGTGCGCGAACACTCCGGCTCCACTGCTGTAGGTGAGAAAAATCTGGGCTTTGTTTCCTGAAGGTGCAGCCTCCAAGTGGTTGTAGACACTCTGCCATTTCTCCTGCACATGTGCCAGTGTGGGCACCTGGAGGGAACACCAAGTGTAATTTAAAATAGTGCAGAAACCAAGTAGGATCACATGGAACATAGGCAAGGTAATGAATATAAAACACTACTGACATCACAGGTAGTTTGAGTATAAAAATGTAGGCAGACCTTCCAGTCATCAGCTATGTCCATTGAATCATAACGCATCCCCAGATCTGGCCCATTGAAGTTCTGCAGGATGATGATCTTCCCTCGAGCCTCACTCATGGTTGGCACGAGTCGGCTGTGCCACAGCAGGTCCCAGTGAGAGTAGCGATTGATGTAGTCTACCACAGCACCATAGATGTCACCCGTCTCACTGAACTCCTCCTTTAGACGCATTAGCACTGTCTCAGTTGGATACTCCTGCAGGAAGTCAGTCACTCCCTCCAGGACGTCGCCAAAGTGCGCTCGCTGGTAGGACACCCCGTGATGAATGGTGAGGTTTCCGTTGACATGACGCACACGGATGTCTAGGAAGCGAACACCAGCACGGAGCTGGGAGGCCAGGTTCCAGGTCTGGCACTCTGCATACACTCCACCATATAGGGCCATGGTGTTGTGTGTCCCAGGCATGGTGATCTCTGACAGCAGCCGATCATCAGGGATGCTGGCCATCCAGGCCGGGTTGAGGAACTCTGGGTTGGGTGTGTCATCATAGTCAGGCCTCTGGATTGCACCGTTACTCAAACTAATGACTCTAAAACACAGACAGATAAAATAACTTATCTAGTACAGGGCTTTTCAAATTTTTGCTCTCAGGTGCAGAGACAGGAATCAATCCACCTGAGCCACAGTTGCCCCATGGGACAGTCCTTAGGCCTACACTACACCAGTATTTAAAATTATCCAGGTAACTTCAGGATTAATCCTGGGTTTTCAGTACTACACAGGAGGATGTGGTACATCACCACTCCAGAATAAAGATTAAAATCCGAAGGTATGAAATCATCAACTACTGACCAGTGAAAGTGGAAAGTAGGGTGTTCTAAATCATTTTCAATAGCAACCAAAGTATTTGTGTATTGTAGGATTATAAAATCTTACAATAATACAGAGGAAAACCCCAACAATCAGATGACCATTTATCAGAAAGTACTTGGTTACAGTGGAAAGGAAAAACTCCCTTTTGACAGGAAGAAATTCCCATTAGAACCAGGCTCAGGGAGGGGCAACCATCTGCCATGGCCATTCAGGGGTGAGGAGATGAAGACGAGATAAATGAAAACAGAGTCGTAGATGAAACTTTATTCTTTCATTCCTGTAAATAATTTTACTTTTTTTTTCTTGTTTTATATATGTGATTCTAAAACTTCATGGTCATGGAGGCCAGTGGCCTTCTTCTGGCTGCTCTCCCTTTCTGTACCTCTAACTCTCTGTCTTTCTCACCACCAGTTCTCATGAAGTTCCACTGGTTGGTTGTAGGACCTCAGAGAGGAGTGCCCAGCTGCAGTGGGGCGGCACAGCTGTCTCCCATCATCTAATCTTCACCACAGCATTTAGAACAGCTTTCATTCTCAACTGTTACCACGTTGGTCAATTTTTGTCAGTGGTAATGCTCTTGTTAGATTTTAAACTCAGTTCTTGTGTCAGTCTTCATTTTCAATTGTTCACGCTGTCTCTTCTTTGTCCTTGATGTGCAGTTCCTGCTACTATTTAAATATACTGCTGTATTAATAAGTCTTTTAACTGCTTCTATTTTCCAAGGATGTTTTTGGCTTAAACATGACAGAACCTTTGAAATATTGACTCTCTTCCAGTTTTACTGAGAGAAGCACTTAAACTTACTTACTTTTTCTTTTGATTTATTGTGTGTGCTTGATGTTCTGAACTGTTGGTGCAATAAGAAATAAAAGTTGCACTGAACTGGACTAAAACCTAAAATGGAAATATATTTGTTGTGGGTAAGTAGCTCCTCTGACTTACTCACCCCAGCAGGACCAGTTCGATTAACAACTTGTGCATTTTCACTGAATCTTGTCTCATATTGTTCCTCATTTCTGATTTTCCAGTCCTGGAAACAGATTAAAATTTAAGAGCATGAAAAATACCAAGATCCAGTTTAATGTAATGATAGAATTGACCCATTTAAAAAAAGAAGAAAAAAAAGAAAAGAGGTGCAACAAAAACTTAAAGAAAAATCTTACAAAATCTTGCATGTAAACAATGACGTGTTTGGAGCAGTCATCCAAATATACACGCTGACTTATTAAAAATGTGCTCATTAAAGTAAGGCAAGCTCTTTTTTTCCACAAAAAAATTCACTGAAAAATAAATTTATTTAAAATATTGTCTGTAATAAACTCCTCATTACAAGTGCCGACTTAAATCCATTGTCTGAAGGACAAGGTTGTTTTTTTTATGGTCAATTATGTATTGTTGGATGACAAACATGTAAAACAACAACAGAGAAAACAGAAGCTGAAGAGCTGTTCCCATCATGAAAACACGCCAATCTAAAAAGCAGTAAAACTGTAACAGTGGAACAGTAGCAACTGATTCTGAACCAGCTCGAGGTCGACCTCTGCTGAACCCCGTGGCCCATTTCAATGGCAGGCTTAAAGCTTTCTAATCCCAAAGCTGAACCAAACATCCACAGCTACTGTGTCAAACCTGCTGATGTGCCTCGCTGTTTGCTTCTGTTCTTACCTGAAATGAGCTGGGGAGCCGTCCTCGGTCCAGTCCAGAAACGTCCTGGGAGTGTCGAACAGGGAGAGCGGGGAGTTGAGGTGTCAGAGGCAAAATTTGGTGATTTGGGAGATTACTGTGGGAACTAATACAGAGGAGGAGTTGAGGGGTGGGAGTGCAGTACTGTGCATGTGTGAGGGTGGGTGGGAGCGTCAGTGCGAGGGGTAGCTGTCCCTGAATATACATAATGAAAATAATCCCAAAGAAGTAGATGAAAAATCCAATTTTATATGTGTTTTTATACATTTTAAAACTTTACTTTTTGTCTGAATTATGGTTTAAAATAGAGAATAAAAACACAGAAATTATCATGTTTCTTTGGTACAAGTCAGTTGTATGCAGTCAGGTTACAGCTGAGTGATTTCTCACAGCGTTTTTCAGTCTTCATAAGTTAATATAATATAAGTGTTAATATTGGAATGAAAATTTCAGGAGAACTTAAATGGATTGAATGGAAAATGCTAACAAGGAAAGATCTACACAAACTGCATCGAAGGCTGTGAGGTGGGCTTTAATTCAGTTGAGGAAGCCTAATAATGGTCACTTCCAGTTCTTATTAAGAAGAGAAGGCACATCGTACCCTCGGATAAAATGCAAGTTTTTAATTGTCAAACTTTAAAGGAGACCTGTTATGCAACGTCCTTATTTTCTGTCAAATATATGCTGTTACAGTGGCAGATGCTAATGCCAGACATGGTCAAAATGATGACCACTGTGAGCCAAAAGACTGCTACAAACACTCCGGTTCAACATTTTATTTTATTTTTAATTATCATGGTTCTGCATGATGTCACTTAGGGGGATAACCCTAATGAGGACATCACATCCACACATTTTTGGCTGTCAGGCTATAGGAGCTGTCCAAACCTTCTGTTTAAAAGAAACAGCCAATAGAAAGAAAGTAGGCTTAAAGAGGGAGGAGCCCAAACATTTTTTGGTTTCATGCAGTGGATGGACTTAAGGGCCACACACAGGGCCAGTATAACATAATTTATTCTGAGAATTTCAAGAATTACCACTATTTAGAATTACCACAATATTGAAAGTTAGGCTATTAGGGTCTCTTTAGACACAACAGATGAATTTTTACTCAAATATATTTTTAACTCAATCTTAGATGTATCTGGTAGTGTGTAAACATGTGGAAAAATGCAGATGTTTGCTCAGTTTGTCTCATATCACAGTCAAACATTGCACAACAGCCTAGTCCTTGTCTTGTTTAATCATGTTTGCTTAGCTGTCTCTACATGTCACCAATCCAGAGTGTGTAGAACAGAAATTGCTGCAGTTTTGAATAAATATTTGACGCCAGGTGAATTTGAGCGAAACATAACAAATTCACCTGGCAGAGACTGGTAAATATACTCAAGATTTAGATCAAATATGACTATAGGAGGAGCTGCTTATCCAGCATACACTGAATGTAGTCCAGGAAAGCATCAACAGCTCTGTAAGTGAAAGAAAGGGTGGAGAATTATTAATAAATGCAACCACGAGAAGAAGATCAGAAGAACATGCAAAAATGAAAGGAGCATTACAATATTGTCGCTTTTGAAGTCTGTCCAGTTGTAAAGATTAAAGAACCCACAATCTCTCAAATAGCTGACATGTGCTTTTTGGAAACTAGTTTTTACTGGAAATAACGTTATTCATAGACAACCTTACTCAGAATAGCCATATTTACTCACTGACAAATTTAGTCTAGGTTAATAAGTGATGGATGATACCTTAAAATGGAGAAAAAAAATCTGTAATATAAAGGAACAACAAGTATCTTAAATGTCTTTTAATTTAAGCAGAACTTCCCCCTGTAACTTTTACACCATATTTAAATGATGAATTAATGTCTATGCTGCTTTTTACTCAAATAGTCAGCGGAGGTGGAGTGTTTAATGTTCAGTGTTTATAAGATTTTATCACTGTCAGTGTTATGTGCTGTTTTTATTAGATACTGTAAGAGTATTTACATAATCCTTGGCTGTCCTGATAGTTTCCTTGTGAAAACAAGCAGAAAATATCAAATGGAGCCAAAAACTGCAGTTGGTGTAATGGCCACTCAATGGCTCCAAATGCAAGTCAATGGTCAGTGCCATTCAAGTCAGCTGTTCAGGTTTATGGACAAATAGTGGTTTGGGTCTATAGCTAGTATGCTTGTTTATAACTTTCAGTATAACTTGTATATTATTTGCCCTTGCTGAAAATATCTGGCTTTGACCCTCCTGTTTTTATCAAACTTCAAGCTACCTTTCAAGTCTCTCTTTTTTTTGTCTCCTCCTGGAAAAAAATATCTACACCCCATTAAAGTCCTTCCTGTATGAACAAAGCAATTCTGGAAGTGTTCCAGTCTGAGTTTAAAACTCACCGCAGCACCAAAGCCACTCTTGTAAAGCTTTTTAATAATATTCTTTTAGCAACTGATTCTGGTGAATGTGTGCAAGTTGTGCTTTTGGACTTAACAGCTGCCTTTGACACAATGTACTGTGAAATCCTCATCTCCAGGCTGGAGTAGTGGGTGGGCATTACCGGCTCAGCTCTGTAATTGTTTAGGGACTAACTCTATGACAAGGCTGCATTCTTGGGCTGCTCCTTTTCTCTTTGCACCTGCTGTCACTTTGCACTATTTTCTGGAAACACAATATTTCCTTACATTGTTATGCAGACAACTGTCAAGTTTATTTTCCACTTACGCACACTGGTGCATACTCTGTCCACTCTCTCCCTTATCAACATCAGGAGATGGTTGTGTCCTTTAGAGTCTAGAGATGTTGCAGGTACTACTGGGTCTAAACTTTAGACACTCCCTGTATGGACTTTTGCTCTCTGGCCCCATATGAGAAATCCATTATCAGTAATTATTAAAATCCTTTTATTTGTCTTGAAGTCTTTTAATGGTTGTGCCCCATTTTGTCTGTGTGAGCTGCTGCACCCATATATCCCACCTCATTGTCTCAGGTCAGCAGAACAGATGCTTTTGCTTGTTTCAAAGACGCAACTCAAACTCAGAAGGGACAGAGCTTTTGAAGTTGTGGCTCAAAAATTGTGGGTTCACTTGTTGGTTTGCAATCTGGTTTAAAAACACACTTTTATTCCCTGGCCTTTGACCCAGTGTGAGATGTTGACTGTGATCTTAAGTTACTTTGTATGTACTCCTAGTGGTATTACCTGATAAGATAGCAGTCCACCTGTGGCTCCAAAACAAGCTAAAAAGGCCGATTCCAGGTTTTGGACAGAAGTCTACATCCCAGTGGGTGACTTTATGTTGACTTCAAGGATGTTTCAAATAAAGTCTAAGGTGGAAATGCTTTTTTAATCATATATTATTATGGGGTTTTTTTTAGCCTTTTTTTTTTTAAGAAGCCAAGTCTATCTGTGATGGGACAGCTGATTATCTTCAGGGCAATAATTCATCCTTCATATGACCACCTGTGCCAAAGTTATTTTCAAGGTTTAGGTATTCCTATGTAAACTTAAACATGAAATCAAGTACTTCATACAGAATGTGTGTAACACATATGCTGTGACCGTGTGAATAAACTTGTGTTGTCTTAGGAAGGTTAACCAAAGACTTGTGTGTCCAAAGGAAGTTTCAGGTGAATGCGAACAGAGACAGAAAATCCTGAAAGTTTAATGTTAAAATTAAATAAATGGTAATATTGTCTCTGACTACCATCAAGTAAAACTTTATACAGAACAAGACATCACAAAAGTCTTTCAATATAAAAAAGTAAAAATAAAAGACATGCTTGGACTTGTTTGTTGAGCTCCTGACTGTTGTATCTGTTAGAGTTGATGCTTTTGAGATTGTCATTTGTGCTAAGATATATATAACCACTGCTTGTGTGTGTGTGCTGATAAAATGTTTCTCCTTCTATGATGGAAGAAGCAGCTTTGTTGCTGTAATTTTCCCTTACACGTTTAGAAACCACAAGGTTCTGTTCATCTGAGGTGCAGGACTGCTCACTTCTGCTTTTTACACATCTTAGTTCATTGAAAGGTCGCATCCTGTATGGGGTGACTGGAGAGGTTGATAAGAAGTTATGCCTTGTATGGTATGACGAGGGGCCACACACACTCTAGTGTCAGTGTTTTATTTTGTATACCAAAGAAAAAAAAAGAATAATTTACGAGTGGATCTTTGTAGCTAATAGCAGAGAAGTCTGCCCACTGCCTCTGGTTGTGTAGGGCTCTTGGCCTTTGGCTGCAGGCACTTCATCTGGACCTATCTTTTCCCTCATCTCACGGTGAGATGCGTGGCCTTGGGTCTTTGTACTCTTGGGACCTACAGACGGTCTATTAAAAATAAAGTTTTCTATAAGGGCAGATGTCCAAATTCAAAAAGTGGTTAATCGTTAATGACAGCATGATGACCTCAGGAATCCTCTGGATACTTGAGACTTTGATCCAATGACTCTGATTATCAGAATGGTTTCTCTTACACAATCTGTACATATCTGACACTATTTTTTTTTAACATTATCTTCTTCATTATGAATGAAATCAGTTTCCTCACGCTCTTAAATCTGCCAGAGCTGTTGCTGTCATTGGCTGTTTTTCCCAGCAGACATCGTACCAGGAAAATCAGGCTTTGCAAGGCAAGTTTTGAAACTGAACCTAGACCAGCCTCTTGTTTAAGGCAGACATTTTCCTTATTTGTTTATGTTGGTAAAACTCAAGATCCTTCTGTATGTGTGTCACCTTGTTCCTAAAAGCGCACTCAGTCTGTGTAGACTTTTTAGGATAATTAGAGGGTCACTTTACCCAAGTTGTAAAAATTTTTATTTTCTATTCCCTTTGGGGTTGTATCTGAATTTCCAGTGTAAAAAGTCAACCAAATCAAAAATATGGAGAGACCTTTGTAAATAAGAGAGGAGGCGAAAGCTTAGACTCAATTCTGGTGGTCAAAAAGTAACACTTTGTTTGACTTCCTCGTGAACAGATGTAATTTTAAATAAACATAAAACTCATAGGTTTAAATAACATTTCCTCTTGCTAAACTCTTTGTGCGCCAATATTTATTCATTCATTTTTATATTTTTGTGTCTCAAATGTCGTGAAATGCTAAAAAGAAAACATACCAAAAAAATAAAAG